TCCATTTATCAAAATCACAGGTAATAAATTTGTAAACCATTATTCACAAATAAAAAATATTTTCAGATTAGAGACAACAATGTTACCGTTTGAAGACGATCCGCTATCATCGGAGAATCTTCTAGAGGACAGTGTCAATCACTTTTGTAAGGTGCTAAGATTTGCCCACGAGTGGGGTCCACCTATATACCCTACAGGGGCTTTGAACATAGATGAAAGACGAACAAATATAACGCATATCGATGGAATGTCTTGCGCGCACAACTTTAGTCTGCATATGATCGCGATTGACAGTGTACGGAACCATCACTTTGCTGAATCCCTTGGAATAGATATCACTAATAAAAAAGATATGACTGCCGTCGTTATTTTGGATAGTAAGGTAATTTTTTTTGTGGATATTTTTTTCTTTATAAGTTATGATACTTTCATTGCATACTTAAAGTAAATTATAGACCTACGAGTTCGGATCTGATCCACAAATAAAAGACCATCTTAAAATATTACATTTTAAGTAAATTAGAGCTTTACGAGACCGTAATCTACTCCAATCTATTAATTTTATGAAATAAATTTTCAACTTTATTGGTTTGTAATAAAGTCGAAATTTCCTATGTATAAATAACATTGAATCACACTTCATTAAAAATATCTTCCACAGCACGAAAGCCAGTACTTATTGTCAGAGGAATACAATGCAAAGTCAATAAGAGAATTCATATCAAACTTTACAAATAAAAGTCTGAAGCGGTCCCTACGGTCGCACGTGTATGATACGATGCATACACACTACTTCGGATCGGATGGCACGTCCGAACAGATGGGCATCAGTGAGAATGCAGTATATATTGAAGATCTCACCTCAAGGACGTTTAGGAGAATGGTGAAGACACCGGGAATGGTGAGTAATTATAGTACTAATGTTAATTATGTCATAAACTAATCCTTAACATTGTCCAAACTATTGGTGGTTAGGACTCTACGAGATAGAAACTTCTAAATAATGCATACCGTTTTAAGAACTGCCTATGTCGCTGAATTGTAGCCAAAAAACGGATTCCTGGAAATGTAGATCGGGGCCTATTTCTTTTCCGGTAAATATGTATACATATTATTATCAAAACACTTTAAACAGCTAGACAAAAAAAGGAAAATAAGGTGCGGCGACACACCTTACACTTCCAGGATCCATGAATAAATGTATTTTCAACCTAATCCTCCATCATTCCCTGTCTTAGAAATTTGTTATTCAGATATTCCTATTTGATAGTCAAAGGTGTCAATGGAATTATAGAGTGATGTGGGTGTGTCTGCGCTAGATGTCGCTGGTGGCAGTATGCGGGGGCGCATGTAGTGCGCGAGTGTCCCGCGCGCTGGTGGGCGCCCGGCGTCTGCTGGCGGGCTGCGGCCTGCGCCTGCGCCTGGCGCGCCTCGACGCGCTGCGCCACGACCTGCCCTGGCACTACACCGTGCACCACTACCCCACGCTACTTGTCTTCCCTGCGCACAGGTACGCGACACTACGACATTAATAAAACTTATCTAATACGGTAAAACGGGGTGAATATAATTCGAGGGGTGAATAAACACAGAAGAGGGGAGAATAGATACTAAGAAACTTCGCCATTATCTATTATCCTTTCGTGTATCGATTCACCCCGTTTTACGGTAGTTATTTGTTGTCCATTCATGGTCCATCACGTTGATAGCTGTTAAAAATATATTCTTTACGCTACGATCCAATCTTGAGATTTAACCCCCCCCCCCACCTCTCACTCTCCCTGTCTACAAGGACGATTTCTTCTTGGTTATTAGAAAACGTCATCCTACTAATGATGAGCTCTCTAGATCGACTAGATCCACTATCTGCTATTAGCAAGGACGACCTTGAGTGTTTAAAGAAGTATTCAGCAGCTGAGTCAATGGAAACTATCTTTTAATGTCTATATGGTTATTTATCATACAAAGGACAAAAAAGACTTTTTTCGGTCAGTCACTGCAACTGGCCTACACGTGTCTTGTTAAACTATCAACTGTTATTGTATGTCAAGGACATCCTTATCATAGGCTCACAAATATTTCCAAAAAATGGGTTGTTAAGTATGTGTGTTTGTATAAGGCGAGGCGAGGCGGACAGTGAGTCATATCCGGGGGAGGCTCGCATTACCTCTGCGGGTGCGGTGGCTCTGGCACTACGGTCTCTGGCCGCACCGGAACATTTGCGCGTGAGGCTCGCCCTATGTGCTGCCGTACTGGTACGTATTACTGTTCCTATTTATTTGTTGTTAGTCAAAATCTAATACTTACATAGTTTCGCAAGTATAGAGGCGTGAATCCAGAAAACCGCTCAATTTCAATGACCATGTTTTGAGTTTTTTGCCATGTCATGATTTCTATGCCATTTTGACTCCACTGATACACGTGTTGTTTTTCACCAATAATTTTATAACTTACAATCTAAGCTTATTTGTTGAGTGGCAATCTATTGAGTAAGGAGTCTCGAATTCGAATTTCGGGTCTGGCAAAGTGATAGGCTCTGGAATGATGCCTAGTGTATGGCAATGATAACACTCATAACTAGCGAAGACTGTGTGTGATACATTTAGTATGTTCGCTATTCCTCTACGAGGAATCAAAGACCTCTTGTTATGATCTAAAACTATTATATTACAGAGCTACAACGAAAAGAAGACGTGCCTAAAAGACATAAAAGAACATGTGACGTCAGTTATCAACAAAAACCTCAGGCACTGGCGACAGATTGAAGACGTAGAGCTTAAAGAAGCCTTATTTAAAAGACTGCAACACTTACACACACTCGCCTTGGACCTAAGTTTATTCCATGTGACTGATCTCAGTGCAAATAGTGTGAAACAAGTGTCCCTATCCAACACCCTTAGTGTACTATCAAAGAACTGGGATATTAACAATTCAGCATTAAGCAAAAATGCCAATATCGCACCACTAAGCAAAACTAGTTGATATTAGTTGTAACTTTGTAAATAGTGTACATTGCTCATATAGAAATATGTAACTATGTTATTTATTTTTGAAGCCCGAAGTACTATTAAATGTTGAAAACAAACGAGATTCTTTGTTTTTTTGTACCTTACCTACCTAGCATTCATGTTTGTTATAGTCATGCAGCAAAGAACCTAGGATGCCCGGGTGCTTCATGGTTATAGTGACGATCTCCAGCCGCCACAAGCGAGGATATACGGGCGGCGAGTTTAGTTTAGCCGGGGTTGCGAGTAAGGCTAAGGCTAAGAACTCACGGAGCGATTTTCGCCCGCGTCCGCCACGGTTGCGGGCCCGCAGCTTCTGTAGAATTCAAATATTTATATAAAAAATTAAAGCACATTTCACGACGCGTTTTACGCCCGCGGTGTACGCGGTTGTATGCGGCTCCCGCTGTACCGGCGGGCAACTAGTAGAACCGCGCGGGCCGCGGTTACCCGCAGCCTCGGCGGGTGGCACCCGCGCGCTTTGCGATCGGTTGGCGAGCGACCGCGGGGGCCGGCGGGTCTTCTGTGAAGTAAATATAACGCAACGGCTCGTTTCTGGTGTGTGTCCATGGCGGTCTGGACCTCAACTGATCGTTAATCGCCCGTCTTGCAATCTTGCGATCATCGCCCGCCACGTTTGCGGGTGATGATCACAACCGCGGCGGCTGTGTAACCGCGCAAATAACCGGTCTCGTGAGTTTGGAAATAAAACCGCAGTTCCGCTACCGCAGCGGGCACGGTTCAAAATCGCTCCGTGAGTTCTTAGCCTAAGAACTCACCGAGCGATTTTCGCCCGCGTCCGCTGCGACTGCGGGCCCGCAGCTTCTGTAGAATTCAAATATTTATATAAAAAATTAAAGCACATTTCACGACGCGTTTTACACCCGCGGTGTACGCGGTTGTATGCGGCTTCCGCTGTACCGGCGGGCAACTAGTAGAATCGCGCGGGCTGCGGTTACCCGCAGCCGCGGCGGGTGGCACCCGCGCGCTTTGCGATCGGTTGGCGAGCGACCGCGGGGGCCGGCGGGTCTTCTGTGAAGTAATTATAACGCAACGGCTCGTTTCTAGTGTGTGTCCATGGCGGTCTGGACCTCAACTGATCATTAACCGCCCGTCTTGCAATCTTGCGATCATCGCCCGCCACGTTTGCGGGCGATGATCGCAACCGCGGCGGCTGTTTAACCGCGCAAATAAGCGGTCTCGTGAGTTTGGAAATAAAACCGCAGTTCCGCTACCGCGGCGGGCACGGTTCAAAATCGCTCCATGAGTTCTTAGGCTAAAGCGTAATGATGTGTCGCGGCTGCGGTTAAGAGCAGATAAGAAACTGGTTTGTTTTTAGTCAGTAAGAGTCAGTCCCTCTCACGCAAGAGCGAGCGAACTCATTAGGTAATTGCCCTCCTATTTATACCAATTTTCTATTGCCATTTCAGATTGGTTATCGATATAAATCCTTAGGTCGGATGCGAAATCAGATAATTCTATTGCTCAATAATCATTGTTGCATAATATAGTTAATTTTAATTAAATATAGATTGCAACATGTTCATTTGTTTTTTTTGTGTCCGAGATTAAAATTAAACAATCGGCGCAACACCACAGGAGTTGCAAGTGCGTTGCCGTCATTATGGGGTTAAGGGGTTTTAGGGATTCAAGGATTGGGGTGGGATGGGGGAGAGGGATAAGTATTTGGCCTCCGGTAACCTCATTTTCACGGCAAACACATCGCTGTGGTTGTTATTCCGCAAGAATACTTTCGTACATGGCTCTTCCATACGAGTATGAAATTGAATGATAGAGCCTGATGTTAAATAGATAATTTGGTATATCATTTTTAACCCATCTAGTATGACGCAACGCGACGATACATTGCCAATTAACTTACTGAAATAGATAAGGGATTAACGTCACGGTTTTTTTTCATATTCAGGAAACATTAACAATAAAGGATAAAGATAAATATATTTATTATCAATCTCTAAATAATAATACATGCGTTCAGAACTCAACATCTCTACCGAAGAAGGAGAGTGTGTTTTGTCTCGTGCTACTGCGCCAAGCTCGCACCAAGCTTAACACCGTCGTAATGGACTTCTTCACATATAATCCTGGGAATTGAAGACATGAGAACAGACAGCTATCTTGCTATTGCACCGATAAAGATACTAATATATCTTCATCATATAGATAATCATCGTCAAAATTTATAATCATACTGTAAGTACCTACCTCTTCATAAAACTTTTCAGAGCCCAGCTTACCTACATATTTGTCCTATCATGTGAAATGTCATTTTGGTTAAATCAGAGACAGGTTAAACTTTGGAAACGCCCTAGGAAAGCACCTTATAGGCGCTCCAAAACTTATGAGCACTGATTCCTCTCTGCGCTTCCGTGCGCGCGCCGCTTGGTTATTTTCCCCAATCTAGCCGTCTAGGCTATTGCCCTAGGAGTAATACAGCTCTCTAAATTACCTCTATCTGTCTTATCTTAGATAGGTAGTAGGTACTGGGTTAAGTATCTACCCTCTGCACCTTAAGTACTTACAAGGTGCAAGCAGTCTACAGGTAGATGAGTTCTGTCTTCTATTTTTATATATTTTGTAATAAGTAAAGATCATGATCATCGCGCGACCCACCCAAATGTTCTTTTGATCGGTATTGTTCGTCGGACAACTCAACAGCACTAGCTATATGGTTGCAAACTGACACTTGCGTGCCTGTCTTCAGAACGGGTCCACTTAAACCGGTGTGGTTCTTTCCTCAAAAGACCACTACAGAATGAACTTGCACGGTTCTCTCACATTATGTTATTTTATATTGTCTGGACTTGAAAAGAGACTGACCTCTGAGTTTGTTTCGGCATTTCTTCTCAGAGTAGTCAGATAGGAAATGCCGGCTTCATCTAGTTTTTCACATATAATTTGACGTGTAAAAGTGCCGTTTTAAGGCCTATTTGCAAAAATAAATTCATTGTTTCATTGTTTTGTTTCATCCGCCTATAAGTGCCCACTGCTGAGCAAAGGCCTCTTCTCACACGGAGAAGGTTTGAGCATTAATCACCACGCTTCTCAATGCGGGTTGGCGATTTCAAACTTATAATTAGAAATTATAAGTCCAGGTTTCCTCACGATGTTTACCTTCAATGTATGTTATTTTGGTGTCTAAATAATCATAGAAAGTACATATAACTCGGAAAAAGGCACATTGATACTTGCCCGGTTTCGAACCCACACCCTCATGCATGAGAAGCGGGCGCCTTAATATCGGGGCCACCACGACTTAAGATATAAAGTATATAAAAACTGGAAAGATACGTACTGAGGTTGTTCGTGTCTGTGAAATTGGGGAACATTTCGTGGTATGGTTTGATGAGGAACACCAGGTCAACACCCACCACACCACTGATGTAATCAATCAATGTTCCTGCGACACGCTCGTCGTTACTGCTCTGGTGCACCTAAAATTTTAGGTAACTCGTACAATTGATTACTTTAACACCATCCAATCTTAAATCCTTCAGATTAAAAACACACTTAGCATAATTTTGATGAAATGATGAAATTATCCTGATTGTGTAAGGTTACGTGATTAGATTATCTTTAAAAATAATTAATGTTGCATAAAAATATTCTGACCTGATACAGTCGACCATCCTGTAGGCGTGCTTGTCTGGCTGCATATTCACCGATCTCTTGTAGTGTGCGATAGTTGCTCGGTGAACGTAATGAGTAACGCCACGGGTACAGAATATATTCCTAAAACAGTGTAAACGTACATTTTACATCTACAAGTTAGTAGTACGTAAAAATCTTATTAAGATAATTTATCTTCAAACATGCATAATTTTAGCACCTAGAAGTGCGCATTGTACCTACATGTGCTTCTGAGTTGGACACCTCTGGGCATCTTGAGGTGGGCCCTGCAGTGCAGGAGCATCGAGAAAGTACTCTCCGCAACTTCATAGGTACGGTATCTTAAAACGGCTCACAGGGCTAATTTTTGTTCAGCAAGAGCCTAACAAGACCTGTCAGTCTCCTCATGTAAGTTATCTATGAAGAACTTCCAAAGTAATACAAGTTTTTATCGACTAACCTTTTTTGGCTTAAAACTGGCGTGTAAATGTATGGCTAAGTTAATAAAATCACCCATTTTATCTACATATTTCCGAATTGCTCTTGCTTCGGCGGTGGAAAATGGTTTCTGACCGGGATAATACTGGCAACATTGTGTCGGAGTTTTATGCACGTCGTCTGAAATTATTTATTTTAATATACGAAGGATTACGTAAATGATGTTTAGAAAAAAGAAATTATAGTATAAAGATGATGAGAAGCATATAGTCCATAGATCTATTGGCATCATATCTATATGATGCCAAACGGGCCGGCTCAATCGGAGATATATCAAGCCCTCAAATAATACCTGATTTATGTTTCGCTATGTGTCTGGTTCAAGGAGGCCAAATTCTTTCTACGAAATTCCTAAATCCGTAACCCTAAAACCAAATGGCCGGCGAGGCACTTACAACCTGCCTCATGCGGTCATGTGAGTTTCCACTTTTTTGACACTATATGTAAGAATAAGTACTATAAAAATGTCTTCATAGTATCTACCTCGTCCTAGACGAAATGACGTAGATATTGTCTATAATGATAAACACGGGAATTACCAAACATTTATTGTATATAATTTATCAAATTACCTTGCCAATGATAAGCAAAATTCCGATTGATATTTGTCCCAAAACAGCGCGTATCTTTTTGTTCGTCTTCCAGATCAACATTCTTGTGCCATTCTGATGGACGAGTTGCAGCTCTTACAGATATGTTCTGTGCCCAATCGGCGGAGTCCAATGGCGCTCGTGTACGTATTTTATGAGTGAATTCAATGCCGTCAGGATTGCCCATAGGCACCAAATACCTTTGAATAATATGTATTATATATTATATAATAATTTCATCGATTAGAATAAAAAAAATATATTTGTATGATCATGATGATGATGATTATGATGATGATGATGATGATAATGATAATGTTGATGATGATGATGATCAGCTTTATGTAGTTTTGTCGTGCTTGCGCTACAACTAATTTTGTGTACAGTAAAGCATTATTGTACAGTATAGGTACAGCAATCGGATTCGTTGTCACTCGTGCGATCTCTCGATAATATGTAATGAAAGTAATATCACTCGCGCGATCTCCTTATCGAGAGATCGCGCGAGTGATATTACTTTCATTACAAATTCCATATTAGAATTTTGAGACCCTATTTCTGATTGGAAGAGTGACAGTTAGGTACTTACTTACCAGTCGTAATCATTAAAGAATGGTGTTTGATAGTGCGCGTCATAGAGTAACTTTTCTGACAACTCCAATATAGCATTCGGAGACGCCCACGCCATTGGATTTAATCCTGTTCAGTAAAATAGTTCCAAATAATGTCGAATAACCAACTCGCCGGTTGGTAAGTATAACGATGTAGCCTACTATAGAGCACGTTCACATTATAATATACTAGCTACTCTCACGCGGTTTCACCCGCTGCTCGGCTCCATTTGATCATAGCGTGATGTTTTATAGCCTATAGCACTCAGGAACATTGTAGCTAGTTTAGTTTCTAGTAGCATTGTAGCTATCAGTGAAAGAATTTTGGCAATCTGACCAGCGGTTCCAAAGATTAACCCCCTACATACAAACTTATAAATTTTACCTCTTTATTATATTAGTATAGAAGAAAACTATACATTTGATGGTCGGGACATGAATGCCCAGGTTATATATCCTTCCGTAATTTCAATTCGTAGCGTTAAGAATAAGTGATAACGGTAGAGTGCAAGGCATCTCTTACTCCCAGTCTGCGCAAGCGCAATGAAGAACTGCGGCCAAGTTCCGAGCAGGAGAAGGAACGGTGTGTTTTTGATCAGTAAGAGTCTGTCATTCTTTCGCCCTAACCAGAGTGTGAAAAGTCATTTAATGAGGATATGGCGACATCTATTGCAAATTTAACAAAGCTGGGTAGTAGCAAATTTACTAAATGTTGATAAGAAAAATTCATGAACAAGTCACCTGGCCTCACAGGGCTGTGAAACTTTTAATAATATACCTTCATGTATAGGTAACTATAGGTACCTCCAACAATAAGTATGCCTGGTTTTCTGGTTTGCTTGTCACTGCGCAGTTCCACAGCCAATATAGTGCGGTTTTCAAATGTTTGCGGTGTCAAGTTAACAACGTTCACTACATCAGGGTCTCGTCGACGGAAGCCATCAAGCACCAACGATACAGTCTTGTGATCAACATACTTCTGGAGTTTTAAACTATCACTAGTACTTCGTGTTGTCCTTATTTTGGCTCCAGACCTAAACATTTTTGACAAATCAATCAATTCAAAAGTAAAATAAAAAAAATACGAGGCGAAAATATCAAACCACAATAATTTTGCTTATCGTTTCTACTTACAGGTCAAAGTTTCTTGGTGGGAAAAAAACCATATAGAGCGCACCTAGAAAATATAAAACAGATATCAAATATATTTTAATTTGTAAAAGCATGGTTGTAGTTAGATCACCAAATCTAAGGAAAATATGAAATGCAATAAATAAAGATATAAAAATCAAAGGGTTAAAATTCTGACACTGAATGGATATAGTTTGTGACGTGTCGATATAAATACTTTTGTAACTCTATCTCTTTATCTCTATGACTTGAATTGTCCCGGGTCCAAAATTGTACTTTCTGGAAACACTTACAAAAGTTCTGTATTGAGTTAAGCGAGGCGAAAGACGCTAATTTCCATGAAGGAGTTTACTTTGAGTAAAGCTAAACAGGAGCAGCACGAAATACTTAACAACCAAATAAAAAAGGATGTTACAATCTGGCCACTTATGTTCTATATTTTATGATAAACTATTACTCTATAGAAATAAACGTCAACGAGAGGCATCATGTCATGTCATAATATGAAGATTTTGTTATCATGAAAACTTATGTATTTTTGATAACATTTGGTTTTATACAATTAGTTTTCTGCAGCCACGACATTAATATTACAGATTATGAATCAGTTTCTGTTTGTCCTATTAAATGTAAGTACCACTAATCCTACTCACCAGAGACATGTATTCATCTATTTATCGTTTCGATATATGTGTCCAATAAGATATTATTCCACTGTTATGCGTTATAATGTGTTTTGTCTTAGTTTTCCGCCGAAAAAGGGCATTCACAGAATATACTCGGTGGCGCGCTAGCCAAGAAACTACAAATGAGTTCCTAGTGAAGGTGTTAGATGAAGATTTAACGACTGCAGCTCAAACGCAGCAAATAGTTGCTGTAAATATACAACCTGTGACGAAAGGAGGTGAGAGGATTATCATAGGTGGTGCAAAAGTTCCTCCAACGACTACAACGCAAACTACCACTGATGCAATTAATGATTACACAAGATTTATACCTGCGATGTCCCCGGTTTTAATACGTGTTGGAGATCATTTCATTGCCCCTATAATACGACCAAATCAACCACTTCCACTCTTGTATGAAAATGGTCTGTAAAATGTTTTATATTTCAAATAGATAAAATAATGTTTAAGATATCTTTTCTTTTTTGATTTTTGTGCTTCTTGTCAATACGCTCATTATGCCTATGTACACTAATTTCATGTTTTCAGGCGTCTATGCAGTGCGAAATTCACTTCGTGATGATAGTCCACCCGCCAGCCCCCAGTTTCTGGCACGAACTCCGTTGATGGCACGACAGTATGCACCAATAGCTCCAGTCTCATTTAGTCGTCGTACTACTACAGTACCCTTAACGCCACCCGTTCTAAATGATTATGTACGGTTTTTACTGGGGTATTTTTGCTTAATTTTGCTTAAAGTATAATTTAAGTTAAATGAACTTCCTTACAGGATCAATATCCTCAAGCATCTCTTGTACCTCCTCCTCGAACTCACGCAAATACAGAAGTAACAGCCCCAAGACGAAGTACAACTAAATTGGATCAATTGCGAAGATTTCATTCATTTGAACCGACTCACATCAAAGAATTATTAACGCGGACAACGTATTCAGTTCCGGCTAGAACACAGCCGCCGTTTGAGTTTTCCATGGCAAACGATATCGAAGTTGATATTGAATCCACGACATTACGAAAAATTTTTGATGGTGGTAAAAGAAAAGAGGATGGAACTAGGAGCGACGCTGAAAAAGATTCTGAATCTTCGTATAACATGATGTTTTATAATGATGATGACAACGATATACATTCTAATAAAAAGGATGTTCAAGACTTCATTAATGAGAACTATTATGAAAAAAAGGGTAATGAAGACGACTCTTTAGAAAAAGATTTTAATGATGCAAAAGGACTGGATATTGAATACATTGATAATAGAAGTTTCAGTTTAACAAAAGATTTACGTATTAACAAAGACCAGATTGGTCCAGACAATAAAGGCATTATTGGTATTCCCAATATAGAAGTAGTGACAAGTACAGGATTGAAAGATGCGCTACGTAACAAACGTCGCTCGGTTTGCAACTTACTTAGACTAAGACAACTGAACTTTAATTCACCGCGAACTTTAGCAGAGGTATGAAAATATTTTCTTTTGCATCTTACACATGACATACATCACAATTTGTATTAGGTACCCGAAAGAGAATTTAGAAGGCCTTTCTCCAGTTCCTAATCCGAGGATACCGAGCAACCGGGTATTCAATTGAGAACTTCTATTTGAAGTTTGTGAAGTTCTAAAAGGCCTATTATACATAACAGAACTAGATACCCCTTAATAGATTCGCTAGTAGCCCTTGGTATCCAGTCTTTTAGAAGAAGAAATTCAATTCACAAGGAACTATAAATTTAAATCAGTAGTAGTTTTTTATAATTGTATTGTTTATAGATAACGAGCCAATTAAAGCAGTGGGCTGAAGAGAGTCCAATGGCCAAGTGGGTGGACATAACGCATGGAAATTTCACTACAATGGAGAATCCAATTTATATGATGATAGTAGATGACCCGGCTAGTGGTCAAATTATATCTGCAAAAAAAACTGTTATGATTGTCGCAGGTGAGGACGAGTTCATTATCTATTGTGTATCTAGTTCTAGGATCTGTTAAATTTTATTTTAATATAACCTAACACGTGGCAACTGCCGAGTAAGAGATTCGGAATCGGTCCCAGATTCCGAAAATTCTAAGCAATAAATATAGCCATTAGTACTGCCAAATGGCTTTTTACGATATCTGGATAGCCTTTATATACAAGATAATTTTGAATATAGAACGAATGTAACATGGACGGACTTAATTTTCTGTTCTGTGTGTACGGACTATGACACGTGGTACTTTACTTATGTATAGGTGGTCAAACAGGCGCTAGGCTGCTTCTCACTCCTTTGCATGGGACTCAAACACTTTTGAATGAAATCCGCCAATGACTTCTCCCTGCCTGGGCCGCCCCTACGAGAAGTCGTGTCAGAGCATTACTGACTAAATAACCACACCTTGTTAATATTACCTATATTTGTTATTACAGGTATTCAAGGTCGAGACCATCATGCGGTGGCCGCCGCCATGTATGTGTTGTATCAACTCATAGAACGTAGCGAAGCACACATCGAACTGCTTAAGAAGTATCGGTTTTGGATCATACCAGTATTCAATCCAGATGGATACGACTACTCTATGACATTTCCACACGTATGTTCCTTTTTTACTTTTTATATCGTAATGGGCAATCTGAAATTCTAGAACAAAACGGTAATTATCTAGTCTGTGTCTTTACGTAGACGCAAGTTCATTTGGACTTTCGATTGAATTTCAGCACTTTGACTCAAGTTTATTAGATCATACGACATTTTGATTATTATCATACCTACTCATTCTCTGTTCAGAACGATTGTCTTGAATGAGTATAGCTGCCTTTGAGAGCACATGTAAATTGATGGAAAATATAAAAAAAACACTTATATCTAATGCATTCATGTTGTTTTTATTATTGCAGAGACGTGCATGGACAAAAAATTTACGCCAGTTGTGGGACTCGTGTAAGGGGCGTAGTTATTGTAATTCGTGCGAAACTCACGGGATACGATGCACCATTCAGCCTTGTTACGGAGTCAATCTCGATAGAAATTTTGAATACCAATGGATTCCTGGTGAGAAACGTATTACATTATTATCTTAACATCTTAGATACAGTCAGCGTCAAATATATAAGATCATTAGGAGTACTCATTTATATGTATATGTATATGTATAGACGCATACAAACCACCAAAATATCGGTACAACAAAATCACTATAACATATGTATAGGTAGAACCACGCAAAACCCGTCAATAAAGTCATAAATATCGATGTTACCCATTGTTTCCATTGCGATTATAAGATTACTTATTAGATTTTGAGAAGTCAATATTTCCTAACCACAGTGGGTTAATAGGAATTTGTATATATTTTATAGCCACAAATTAATTTTAAATTAAATTAAAAACCTTTGACCTATACTGGTCATTAAATTCATTTGTTTACCCTAAAAAAATACTGTGACTGTTGATAAAAAGTAGCCTATGTCCTATTCCGGAGTGTATCCTATGCCTGTGCCAAATTTCATTCAGATCCGTCCGTTATGGCGTGATTGAGTAACAACAACATTTATAATATAATAGTATAATATAAGTATAAGTATATTATTAATTACAGCGAATGAGCTTCGATCTGAGCACCCATGTGGCGGCCTTTACGCAGGACCACGCCAACTAAGCGAAATAGAGACGCGTGCTCTAACCAAATACATGCACGAACTACACACGCCAATCTTCACATTCATTGCATTCAAAGAAGGGAGTGTCCTAGTAAGTTTTGTAATTTCGATTACTATCTGAGTAATTGTATATTAATTACAATCTATCAAGATTGTAATATTTCTTTCTCATTCAAAAAGTACCTAGCTACCTACGTAAGAATCGGGAAACCAGATAAATGGTATATAAGTTGATTTTATCCAGTAATAACCGGTTTGGGACTGGTCTAAATCTAGTTTAAGAAATGCATTTGTTATCTTTTCAATTCCAAGAATATTTTACATTTATTTTCGAAGTATAAAGGCATGTAGTACAGTTCAGATTAATTATATTAATATTAACAAACTCGAGACTGTCACTACAATGACTACTACTACTTCTATGATATAAAATCTTCATTTTACATAATAAAACAGGATTTGTCCAAAAACTCCATGTAATGGCCGGGTTAGGGATGAAAGTAAATAAGATTTAGAAGGTCCCTAGTTGCCCAATCTCCAACCAAGTTAACCAAACGTATACCAAGTTATAGTAGCTTTATGCATACAAGGTCTCAGCCAATGATGTATAAATACGTCATTGGTCTCAGCCCAATAGGTTTAAAACTGACAAAGTTTCATACAAACTTTCATCCTCTTTTTTATCCCCTTGGGGGTAAAATTAATCAAAATCCTTAGCGGTGGGCTATGTCATAACATCTACCTGCATGCCAAATTTCAGTAAGATCCGTCCAGTGGTTTGGGCTGTGCGTTGATAGATCACTATATCAGTCACTTTTGAGTTTTATAACAACAATATGGTTACCTGCCATGCACGTCATCATCGCGCATCAGCGCCATCTTGATTTCTAATATGATTAGGTATATTTTAATCCTTAAACTTGCGTTATTGTCTACCATTAATCAATATAATACTTAATATTTACGAGTATTAGGACTTATTTCATGGATTTTCCTGATCTAAAAATATTTTGGGTTTTATCAATTATGTTGAAGCAGACGTCTGAATGAAGATGATTGTTATCGAAATAAATAACATTATTTAGGGCTGATTTTTCAATAGTCTGATAAATGTTATCTGAGGAATAAAATTACACTGTCTTATACCAACATTCTGACGCGATAGCATCATAATGATTCCCCAGGTAACTTTTATCTAACCATTGAAAAATCAGCCAACTATTTTGAACTATCTTTCTATTAGGTCCGATAGTACAGTTTTTTTCCGTATGGGTAAGAATGTCATCGTATTTTTTATGAAGTGGCCCGGTGAACACACGACGACGTTAATAATGACAATAAAAAATGCTATGGTATTAAATTACCTAAATTATTTGAAATTAGAATTATTCGTCAAAAATATTGTAATTTGAAAATGGCGGTACGGCAGAAATGTGATTAACTGTAAAAATCTGGACGGATGAGAATTCCCCTGAGGAATTCCCCTTGATTTTTGGTAATGTCTGACTTATGTGAATAATGTACTTACATACATGGGTTTTTAAATATAACATTCGAATATAAAAGTGATGTTCAGCACCTTCATTTTTATTTCAGGGGGTTATGTATCCATATTCACATACGCGGAAGAAACGTGCTTACGATAAAATATATGTAAGTCAAAAATTCTACCTACAACACTGCAGTTTACATCTTTACGTTATACTGGTATAGACCTGTAAAACGTAAAGGCAGCCAAAGGTTTTTCACACTATGATTTTTATATCAAAAACTTAAACTGAAAAAAAAATTAAGAAGGTAAGGTACCTTCCTCTGCAAACGATTCCTATAACATTAAGAAACGTAGGAAAAATAACAGAGCGACCTAATCTGTATTTTTTTCTGCTTTAATACAATCCTTCGTAAGTTGGGTTATTTTATTTATAAGTAGGTACGTTTAATACTATAATCTGATGATATTGTGTGCCATCTTTGTAGAGACAACGAGCTTCAAGAGCTGCTGCGGCTGCGTTCAGCATTAGCAACCGGCCTTACGTGGCTGGACAAACGTCAGAGTTCTTGCGTAAGGTTCAACACTAACACTTAGGTAAACTTGCCTAATTCGTACCACTTAAGGAGAACCTCAAAAATTTTGGAAATGAACAATGATACATAGTTATTTATATTAAGTAATTATAATTTCACTAATATTCTATTAGTATTTCAACAAAAAGTAACATAAATCTTATAAACTTCTGAGAAATAAACAATTTTCAAAAACTTAAAAAAAGTACGATTTAAGACCATTAATCCTAAATCGTACCAGTATATTCTTAAATCGTACTTTGAGATCCCGTCATTGGTTTACAGTCTTAAAAATTACAATCTTAATAATGTTCTCCTCTTTTTCTTAATCTTAATGGTATCGTAATAATCAATCTAGGTAAGATTGATTCTTATTAATATAGCGAATGGCCAAATCCTGCTAGTCATCGTAGTAATAACATTTTGTTTTTTTTTATTGTTCCTGCACATAGCTCATGTACGAATATACCCATACTTCACAATAACTGCATTTAATCATGTTTTCTTTTACATCTTCTTGACATATTTTGCAATATCAACTGTTATTTTCCTCTTGTTCTTGTTTCCTTACTTAGGTGTTTTCGTTTTCTTTAAATTTAGTTTCTTTGATTTTTGATCTTCCTCTTGGTTTTTTCTATCTTTATTTCGAGCTCTTGTTTATATTTTTTGACATGTTGCACTAAAATAGTAACAAAATAATTAAAAACAATTAAATTTAAAAAAATCAAGTATGTAGTTAAAATTTACTGTGAAATTAAAAATTGTTTTCCTAAATCGTACCGGTACGTTTTAAGAAGCTTCTGCGGGTACGAATTAGGCACAAGTATCAAATGAATATCAAATTTGCCGCAAAAAAAATTGACAACGAACAAGCCGGCTTTACTATGTGAAATATATTCAGAAATATACGCATAAATATATAATAAACAGTTAAACACCTTATGAACGGTATACTTGGAAGACAGTTCTTTTGCAGTATGCGAAAAAATTACTCAAAAAGTAAGAAAAAACTTACCTGTTCAATATTTTTGTCGGAAGCAACGAACCAGGTGTTTATTTATCATATGGCAATAAGGCCGGCTATTACTGACATTGTATGCCATCAAAGGCGCTGGTAACTATTACCCTTGCCGAGATATAGACGAGGTACGATTTAGGCGCAGGTACGAATTAAGCAAGTTTACCTATACATACAAGCTTCAATAAACAACCTATAGAAATATCTGAAGAATAGCTAATTCAAATTGAAATTTTGATACATTTATTAAAGAGAATGGCAGTAAACCTTACTTTACTACTGAAAAGGTGGTTTATAAAAAGTAGCCTAGGTATAGACGAGATAGTTTCTTTTGGGGCACCGACAAAATGTCAGCTGAAACGTTTTCAACTTTTTGTTTATGTCATAGGTCGGCAGGTGGATTACCCGATGGTAAGCAATCAATGCTGCCCACACACGGACACTCATAAAACCTTGTTAACTTGTTTCTTTCCAGATTAGTCTTATTACTCCTTATAAAATTTTCAGCTTTATACGCTGGTGGTATAGAGGACTGGGTGGATGGCCACCTGGGTATCGATAGCACATACACAGTTATGATGTTTCGTCCATCGGATTCGTACAACACTAAACTCATTACAGAGGTACATACAGTTTAATTTTAATAATTGTTAACAAGTGTGGGATAGCCAAGCTTCGGCACGAATGGGTCGGCTCGACTGGAGTGATACCACGGCATCACAGAATACCGACGTGAAACAACCACAGCGTTGTGTTTCGCCGTGAGTGAGGTTACCGGAGGCCCAATCCTTCCCCTCCCCCAGGCCCTCCCAATCCCTAAAACTCCAAAACCCTAATCCCTAAAAGGTCGGCAACGCACTCGTAACTCCTCTGTTGCGTGTGTCCATGGGCGGCACTGATTATTTACCATCAGGTAATCCGCCCGCTCGTTTGCCGACCTATTCCATAAAAAAAAATTACCGGAAAGGATAAGCTGTCTAAAAATCGCACATTGGAACTGGAAATGTTTGCTTGATGTACCGAAAAAGATTACTAGTTATTGTGGTGGCCTGGATGATATGGCAATCTTTTGTTTCAAGGGTTCGTAACTATAGCAAGTCAATGTGACTTTTTTCGAGTTACCTATATATTATGGTCTTTCAAAGGCTGAAGCACAAACCTATGGTGAAGCAAACACTATGAGGTAGCCTGGACCTATAGTTCCTGTTTATTATACGTTTAAAATCGCCAGGCTGTCTTAAGTAAGCATGTTGATAAACACTCATACCTTTTCAGTTTGAGAAGAGGCCTTTGCTCCTCAGTGGTGATGATGATGCTGACTGTTTACCGTGTGACCGTTTAAGTGTTTGTAATTGGACATTTTCTTTTCACAGCGCGTTGTCCACGAAGCCTTTGCAGCCATGGACACTCTACTCTTGCAAAGCACAGAGCCCACGCTTCCCCGGCCAGTCACATTAGTACATCGTGGTCACAGTTCCTCCTCGTTTACAAGTCCAACTCGTTTAATGGCATTAATATCTACAGTTGTATTACTTATTAGTTAACACTATTGTCCTTTTTGGTAGCAATAACGTGTATTGTATGATCAGTCTTATATTAGCAAATATCGAATGAAGCGTTTCTAACACTGAGTTTAGAAAGTATTGTAATTTTTCGGTTCCTAAGAGGAACACATCGAAATAATAACGGATTGTCCTTTTACCATTTTGTAAGTCAGTAATATTATATTATTATCTGCATTGAATAATTATGTTTTAATTTTATAAAACAGGTTATGTACATTAATTTTACATATGTACATAATATATTTAAATAAATGAGTTTTCTTTGAAACCTTCCTACATCTCCTTGTATTATTTTATGGACCTTCAATAAATATGTCTAGTCCAAATTTTTTTTCGGTGTGGCATGCAGCCTTTTGTACGTCTATAGGCAGTTATTAAACAGTGATTTAAAACCTGTGCTTAAAACCATTCCGATACTTTTTCTGCTTCGAACAGGACCACGACACGTCATTGAGCTTGCACCCGCAATCCCATGCATCGGCCCTAGTGGGCTCCAAATTAAATATGAGTCTATTATTCATTTTGGCTTATGTTTGTTGTTATATAATCTTGAAAGACATGCTTTATAGACAGATATAATACTTTTTCTACGGTCCACACCTCAGGCCTCCTTCTTTGGAGATACAAGAATTTCTTTATTGTATTATAAAAAAATCTTGACCTCACTGACCAACGATAATGTTGGGCCTAATATGCTACCTTGATGAAAGCTAAAAGTAGAATACATCTATTAACCAGCTCCTACTTTTGAATCTGTTTATCCTATTGGTGAGTAAACTTACAAGATAGATGATGGACCTCAAATGGTAGGAAACCCAGACTCTCAAGATATGTATCTCAATTTGAACAGTAGATAAGATGCAAAAACGGTGTCAAAAAAGGCTTTTCCAAATCCAAGAATATCGTCAGACACTTTAATGTGTAAATGAAGAAAGTTGTGCGCTCTTATATTTTAAATAAAAATAAATAATAGGTACGCCACCCACTTGTCCCTGGTGGAAGGACTATTATTAATTAACAAGTAGAAATAGATTGGACCTCGAACACTGATAAGTAGTCGAATGATTATTTATCAGTCAGAAGTAAATATTTAGATAATAGTTCAATAATGATACATAGCTTATAGATGATAAGATGTCTATCTTTTCAATTCACCGGTTAACTACAAAATTCACTAGTTGGGACTTCCTTTAAACCATGATAATCGCTCAAACTGTCCGATATCCCGAAAGCAGATTTCTACAGATTCGCATCCGAAATGTCAACGATCAATTACCACAATTTCGCAAACTAACATCAACATCTATCATTCAACCTCAGCATTCAACAAATAAAGATCATTATTGATCCGCGGATAACTTTAAAACCGGGATCCAGAAAAATGGTTATTGCACAACTAATAGTTCTCACAATGTACTTAGGTACATTTCTACTACAGAATACTACAGATAGATACATTATTTAAAATTGGTTCATTACTTCATTATATTAGTATAGATTATTATCTTCATGAAATATTTATATCTTGATTGAATAATTATAAATTCCGAAGGTCAAATTACATGATTCATGAAGCTTTCCAATTTGACAGTCTTTGCGCCTATTTTGCCTCCTTTGAAAAAATACCCAATAATTGTTGCACATAGCTAATTTCATTTCATGCATATGTGTGTATATATCGATTTAAGTGATTGAAGAATAGATTTAGACGCAATATTTTATCGCTCTTTCTTTAACAAGTACATTGAGTCGGAATATTAAAATTACGCCAATAAAAAAGTTATAAGTGACTACTCTGATCGCAATAATTTTACGTAATTAGAAAATAAACACAACGCGCGAACCACCATGATCAGGTTTCTGCCGGGGCTTTATCATTCTTGAGAAACCCAAATCTGTAACTAGGTTGCTTTAGTCAGACTGTCACCCGCTTACGATGTTTACTCTCTATCTTAACTTGCCAATATTAATATATATTTTTAACTACTTTTTTGTAGGGGAAAAATCATCAAGTGACTTCTCCTACCCTGGGTGGGCGAAGTACCTACTGACTAAAACTATCCTGTACCTTTTACTGCTGAACGCGACCCGTCGCATGCTCGGGGTGGGTTTTGATCGGGCGGCGAACTATACTTGCTCGCTGAGCACAGACCCGTAGTTGCCGTGGCCAGTGGTCGTCGCAAGACCCCCGATGCCCAGAGTGTCTCCTGGAAGTTAGTTCTCTCACGAGCTCTGCCTTTTTTATTGAAAACATCGAAGGCGAATGCGGGTTTCCAGTTCCTCGGGTATGAGAGACCGCCCTTGATCACTTTTCTGGGGCATGGCGGTGCTTAGCCCAATCAAGGCACACTGCTACCGTATCCTTCTGTGTGACATGCGGACGTTTCCTACCGCCGATTCTGAAACAGGTAACTTCCGAAACTTCTGTCTCCGTTAAGCACTTTGCGCCCTTAGGGGTTATCTAACAAGCCGAAACTAGGAGTGCTAAGGTGATTCTCACTAATCGTTACGTGTTATGAGTCTTTCAGTTAGTTTGTGGTATTAATAACCTCAGCAATCAAGAGTTTTTAATCTGCTGAATAGAAATACATACTTACATACAAATTAAATATTTCTCTATAAATCCGAAGGATCGAAAGTAGAATATTTACTCAGCGTTTACTTTGCTCCGGCCCAAAAGTTCAGTAGGATCCCTTTTACAAAACCAAACAAAACCAAAAAAAGCTATCGATCTATCGACAGCCAGTCCATACCTACGTCTACAAAAATAAACACATTTACATAAAAATAACAAGACTCGCAAATCATGAAATTTCGTCATTGTCTCAAGGACGGCATGTGACGAAACGTGATTACCCATCAAGTAATAATATATTATCCATTAATCGATAAGAAATTCTTATTCAAAAGGCAACTTTCAACCCGTGGTTTTGCTCACAGCAAGTTAGAGTAGTTAATTTTTAGAAATCTATTTCTTGTGAGTTATTAAGTATTTATAAAAGCGATTAAGATCGCGATCTCAATTCTGCGTTTTGAAATCTAACCCGAAGAAATTTGTAACTGTTTAAATATAGCGCAGGAGAGATGAGAATTGATGTCATGTATGTGAATTTGCTGAAAAATAAAAGTGCTTGCACAGAATTCTATTAACTTGGCAAGCTTGAGTAATTTATGGTTAAATAATAATTATTACTTTGACATAAAAAAATATCTCTGTGGAATTAAATAGGTACCTACCTTTCTTAAATGCAATGTTCTTTGAACGAACGAAATTACGTTTGTTTTTCAAATTATTCGTAATTTGACGATCACAGTCTGCTCATTTGGCGGTCCAACCCTGAAAAGTAACAAGGTTCTGATGATGGACTGTCAAGCGCTCTGTATTCTCGTTTGTCGCCTTTTTTGTGGTGGAAAAATCATGATGACTTCTCCCGTCTGGATAGGATATGACGAGAGGGAGTGTCAGACTCTTACTAAAATCACCCCCGTCCCTTCTCCTACTCCAGGCTGAGGCCGCGGTACCTTCACGACCCCGACTTTGTCGCCCAACCTCATAAAAATAATGATTAATTTTAAATTATACTGAAGTAGTAATACTTCAATAGGTAATAATTTAATTACGTACATAGTTTTTCATGTCATTCAAGTCCGCCACAACCTCTTTAAAATTAACTATAACTTGCCTGTTAGCCACAGCGAACTAAATCCGATAAATAAGAATCAGAGGAGAACAACACAAAATAGTTCCACTTATTTCACTGAATTTAATGCTGGAGATAGATTAGCTTCAAATCACTGGCTGCTGTATTGGAACTTGGAAGATAAAAACGCCTCAGTACAAAGAAAGTGTTTTTAATTTGGACAAGGCAGCCATATCCTTCAGAACCGCTGCAACTCCTGTGTGAGCCTGAATCTATAATACAACAAATGAATGAAGTTTTTTGCGTTCCAAGGACATGAATTACTGTTTTATTTCAGTACAGAAATAAATTTAAAGATGACATAATATTATTTGAAGCGAAAAAAATCGAAATTAATATTTTTATATTTTCCAAAAGGTTGTGTTACTCTGTTACTGATATTTCATTGAGAAACACGGTTTGATTTGCTGCCTGGCACACTAAGGGCCTATTTCATTACCTTCATATAAGTACACTACAAATGTATGTGTCATTTAGTTCTCACAAATAATGTTCCTTATTCAAAATCGACCGAGACATTGTAAAACAAGCCCTTATTTTTTCGAGACATTATCCATGGTTTCATTTCTCATACTTAATTCAATACACTATCCGACCTTCAAGCATTACTTAAGCATTTTTTTCTATTATTTCGATCGAGAGACTAAACATCACGATGCAAAAAATTGCAGAGCTTTTTTTTGTAAGGGGAAAATCATCAAATGATTCTCCCGCCCAGGGTGGGGTGGAAGGGAGTTTCAGGCTCATATTGACTAAAAACCCTTTCCTTCCCCTGCTTCAGGCCGAGGCCGCGGTAATTTATTGCCCTTGCCCCGCAACCCTAGCTGAACATCAGCTCTATAGGGTCCCGTCTGTATTCGTCTATTAGCTCTTTGAGGCGCTCGCTTTGAGGGTCTGGTTCTGATCGGGCGGCAAGCTATGGCCCTACTCGTCGTCCACAGACCCGCGCTTACGATGGATCATCTCTCGATCCCGAAGCCCAAAGTGTCCTTTACTGCGGCGGCTAGGCCGTGAGGAGGAAAGTTTCCTCACGCGCTCTGTTTCCTTCTTTGCGAGCATTTAGCAGAAAGAGGAGATGCCTTACCAATTCTTCTCGCTCCGCACCATGACCTCGACTAATGCCGGACGTTAGTTTAAAGTAAGACTGGGTATTTCATCGTATTTTGGAGCTCATAATTTCATTACTGGTGGTATCGTCGCATTTTCCCTTGACCTCATGTAGAAAATGGCGCATCATTTCCATTCTACATAGACTTGCAGATTTTTAATCAATTCCAGCGATTATACGTATAATTGTCATAATCAGCACGCTTCATCTACGATTATGGGATTAGTTAATAGAGCTCTTTTATTGGTATATTGTGTCTATCACATAATTAATTACACGTCTGTGAGTTTCGTTTTCCTGAACAAAAGATTACGTAGGTATTTAAAGCATACGTTAGTATTACATTAGTAGCATTAGAGTTCGCTCACAGTTACACATACATACATACCT